CACACACACACACACACACACACACACACACACACACACACACACACACACACACACAGCGCGGCAAGAGTGTAACATCCAGGCGAACAGTGAGTCGAAATGGTGACAAATATCCCAAAAGACCCCAAAAGGTCAACACAAATACGACGGGCCTTGGACGAAGATTGAGGGTTTGAAACATCCATGGCATAATGCAATTCTGAGTTCAAAGTACAGTACACATTGATCCTTACCTATCATCCATCTTCGCTTGCGCTTCAGCGTAGGACATCGCAGCGCATGACTTAATGATGGCCTTGGTGTACTTGGTGCTGATGATCTCCGCATTCGGAGTCATTTCCTGACAACATGCATGGCATTCACCCAACAGGACAGCAGAAACTGCAATAAAGTTCACTGAATGTTCCAACAACGAGGCAAACTCAAGCAGCATTCGCCGCACCCAACAATATCTTTCTTATCTTCTTATATGGTTGCTGTAATTTGCTGGGGCATACAGCCTCAGAGAATACTACCCGTTGTAATCAACGATTCCAAACCAAGGCCAGATACTCCTACCATCGTTCTACACTTGCAGGACCACACAGAGAGAGAGAGAGAGAGAGAGAGAGAGAGTTTAACTCCGTAGAGACCTCACTTACCTGGCATCATCACCATGTTGTTAATGACTTTGAGCGCTCGCTCCGAATAAGAGAAGAAAATAAAAAATAAATGAACTGGCCGGTAAACCGTAGGCAGAGAGGGAGAAGAGAGGACAACAAACGAGGGGCTGTGAGAAACAGTTTTGGCCGATTTCACCTAGTACTCATCAGGAGGGTGAAGCCTCAACAGTCAGCAGAATCCACTACCTGATGGGGACACTGTAAGTGATAATCCACCTTAACCGCGGTTGTGGTTAAGCATCAACTACTGCCCGACAACTGATACCCTGAGGTGGTGGGGACCACCAACCACCGCCGTCAAGGCACCAAGCAGACTATCACTCACCCACGCCAGACGGTAAACTCTACAGACTGTCGGTTGACACCCCATCACAAGCCAGCAAAAAACCCACGAAACAAAGAAAGGTCTGCCACAGCCAAAAAATACACTCCACGCACGCTGCTGGCACTAAAAAAATTGAAAAGAAAAGGGGAAAACAAATGTGTTGTATTATTTTCATATACATATAAATTAAAAAGGAAAGGAAAAAAAAAAACCTCTGTCAGATTTCAGGGGATGCGATACCATTGAATTAACCAGAAAGTGACATTCAGCACAGCTACTGTCTTTCCCCGACTAGAACGTGACGGTCATTATTGCTGTATCTAGATTCTAGACCGATAGTTCCCCCAAATACAGCTATAATGACCATACGACATACGTTCTTTTTTTTCTTCTTCAATTTGGACCATTTCTCGATTTACGTATGTGTGTCATCCTTGTATGTGTGTCACCGTTGCGCAGGGGCCATGCTAATCTTCTTTCTCTGTATCATTCCAATTTTAACGGATGCCGCAAATGACTGCAAGACATACGTTCTATTCATGGGGTTTCATTCTCAGAAAGTTTGAACCTAACTGCAAATGTGGACAGGTTCATGCTAACTTAGCACGAACAGAGAACGAATGTGGTCTAGTCCGTCTGACTCTGAGGGATGCCCTGTTTGGTTTGGCCATTTCACAGCGAGTATCCATATACTATGCATACACCTCTCAAGCCTCCTCCTTGGGTGTTGATCTAGGAGAGAGAGAACCACCCACATATTTGAAGGAGATTTTGTTTTCCTTTTTTTTTCTTGAAAGAGATATAATGTGAGGAAAACTCAAACAACATACACAAGCAATAAACGTCTCCTATAAACTGGACAACAAACTCAAACGACAGGGAGAAAGATGCGCTTCCTTTGCCCCAAATGGTTGCCAGGTTCATGCTTTCCATAGACTGTAAATGTGGCCAGATACGTGCTAGGAATCCCCATGACCGGCAGTCACCGCAATTGTAACCGCGACCTCCAGTCACAACCGGGGGGAGGGAGGGGGGGGGGGGGGGCGGCTGTCATGACCAAAGGGAAAAAAGAAAAAAAAAAGGTTGTCAAAAAAATCTAAAAAAAAAATTGTTATGCAGAAAAATAAACTGAACAACTTCCGCCTCAGGGTCACATCCAAACTGCTTACCAAAGACCGAGCATTTTGTCAGTAGCTGCACCTCCCTTTTCATAGTCCCCCACCCCCAAGGGCCCCAACCAAATAACAGCAGTGTCTAAGGCCAACACTCTCTCCAGCCTTGACCACCATCGTTGGGGGGGGGAACATGCATCCCCTCTGATGGCTGGAGGGAGACAACAAAGCTATGCTTGCAGGGATCCCCGGTATAAGTAAGCCTTAGGAGTAGTGCTAGGTAGGTAGCGAAAGTGAATTGAAAGAATTTGAAGATAATAGATTTGAGAGAAAAATGTAGCGTAGTTTTTTTTGTGTAATAAAAAACAAAAAAAAC